TATATATATATATATATATATATATATGTGACAATATATATATAATTGAAAAGAAAAGCAATACAAACGATATTCCAGACTTTTTTTTTTTTTTTTTTTTTTTTTTTGGGGGGGGGGAAGGCCCTTGTGCAAGGCCTCTATCCTGGTGGTGGTAAGAGAACCACCGGGATTGAGGTTTTGCCTGGCGGGCCGCTCCATCTATTGATGGGGAGCAACACCTGCTGGAAACCGGGTCCAGCGTCCCTTAAATGCATCTTTTACAAAACAGTACATCTTGAAAGTGACGCCATTGTGCTGGAAACCGAGTCCAGCGTCCCATATCCAATCTACTCTTTCATACCCAACCTGCAGCAGGGTCGGGTATTGGGGGGAGAAACACCTGGGGGCACCAGTGGAGTCTCCCTCCATCCCCTAGCCCCTGGCATCCACCTACTTGGTGATAATGCAAAAAAAAAAAGTGAATCTGAATTCCAACGCCAGAGGCCAGAGTCGCCTGGCTCGAGGCACTCCACTCTAGGCACTCGTTAAGTATGGCATCACAAGAGATGCAATACTATGAAGGGGGTTTGAGAAGCGTGACAGAAAGAACTTCAAAGAAGTCATTCATAGCAGCACTTATCGAACACAAAGCACATGCAGCTGTTGCTAAACAGATGACGAGTCAAATCCTGATGGATACAACGACGTTACGATCTAAGGCCACTTTGAAAAGTTAAAAAAAAAATAAAAAAAAATAAAAATTGAAAAGCAACAGCAACACACGTACATGTCATCAAGATGCCAAATCATTTGTGGCTTGAGGAGAGAGGAGTGACTGCAAGGTGTTGTATTCCTTCCTTGAATGCGATGCTACACAGATCACGAGTTCAAATCCTGACAGTCTACAGTCTCTGCCAGGAGAGTGAAAAGTCGCAATTTTTTTTTTCAGAGTGTTCACTGAATTGAGGTTTGCACAGAGACTCCTGAAAACAAAAAAAGGTCCTTTGGGACATCCGTTAAAACTGGAACGACCAAAAAAAAAAAAAACTGGAACGATACAGAGAAGATAAGCATGGCCCCTGCGTGAGGATGACACACATGATTAAAAACATGGTCCATTTTTTTTGAGAAAAAAGAGGGAGAAAAAAAAGGTGGGGGGGGGGGGGGGGGGGGGGGGGGGAAAGGAAAAAACGGGGGCCTGCACAAGGACCACCTCAGCGTCAAGACGGAGTGCTCCACAAGCAACCCAGGAACGTTGGGAACCACATTCGGGCCACGGAGGTCACCAGAGCTGCAGCGCTGTGGGCGATCTGGTGCTGCCGGAACGAGGCCGTCAGGGAGGGCCGACACTTGGCGCCAGCCAAAATCATGGCATGCTTCCAGGATAGCCTAAGGACCGCGCTGCGAGCAGATTTCCACAAGGAGCTCAGGAGGAGCTCGCCGACCACCCCAGTGGATCAGACCACCTTTGCGCAAGTGTGGGGAGCCCATTCTGCGGTCCTGCTACTAGACGGTAGCGGTGGGAGGTTGATCTCTGCCTGCTTCTTAAACCTGATCACTCAGGGAATGTGGGTAGGGGGGAGCATAGTGGGGGGGATGTGACATAGGTCGGGGAATGCGGAAAGGGGGGAGGATAGTGGGAGGACTGTACCATAGTAACAGGGGGTATGGCAGTAAAACCGGGGGTGTATAAACTCTGGTAGGAAAGGTCACGTCAAGAAATCATGTTTACAATGAAATCATGCTTACAATGTCATAACGTCTATCATGTTAAATGTCTACGATGGGAAGGAGGGATTGCGAAGTGCCTCAACGAAGCATTAGGACATCTGAAAGGGCAGAGTCATTCGAAGCATTAGGACATCAGAAAGGGTGGATTCATGATGAAGACCGTTAACTACCCTGCGATGACTCATCGTAGTGAGCTACTATCACGTCGTAAAGTAATGTACAGAATATAAGTGGTAACTGCAGGCGTAGTGTACTACGATCACAATCTTCTAAAAAGGGTAGGAAAGGGATTTAATAAGGAAATACCACTTAGAGGCTGCGCGGGGGAGGTTGGCCAACTATGGGAGGGCACTTCTGGATACTGAGAAGCGGTATGATAAATGGAACATGACTTCAAAAAGGGTATAGAATATGGTCAGTGCAGTACGATGCGCACGGGGTGACACTGGTACTGACTGGGGAGGACTCGCATCGTTATCGACATAGGCCTGTGGAGGAGGACTCGTATCCTTGTCGACATAGGCGTGTGGAGAGCTGCTGGAGTGTGGGGTGGATTTGAAGGCCCTCAGGGTGCATAGGAGGGGGGTGGGGGGGAGGGGCGGGCTCCAGGTCATTACTAAGGGGCGTGGTTGAAGGGTGTGGAAGGCAACGACTGGGTAGCAATGGGAGTCTCCCGGTTGCCGCCTGCCATTGGGGGTCACCCCCCTACAGGGGAGGGGGTTGGGACTTGAGACTTGTGCACATCAATTGTGTAGTGTTTGAATTTATTTATTTTGCTTGCCGGGGAAGATTAACCAGACTGGTGCCCCCCAAAATAGAAGGGGCTGTGTGTGTGTTGAAAAACACAAAAAAACAAAAAACACCACTATGTCCCAGTCTCTTGTTCACAAGGCTGCTCGTGCTGCATGCCAAAACAAAAAAAGAAACAGCGGGGGCACACTTTTTCCTTTCTTGGGCTGGTGGCGCCATTCATTTTGCTCCACAACCCTCAAACTCCGAAAGCTGCGCCGTGCAAACATCTTCACTCTTACGATGTTGATGTTGCCGGGGGCGTGTAGAGGTGGTTTGAAACTTTTGAAGTTTAAGCCCTTTTTTTTCTTTTCTTTTTTTCTTGACATGCTGGAAGGCCCTTTTTTTTTTTTTTTTAATGGGCCCAGTGCCCAAGGCTGGTATTCCGAAAGATAAGGACGAGGCCGGGGTCCTCACAGTCTCTACCCGGATGTGTAACCTGTTTGGGAGCCTTACCCAGTTCCGCTTTTAACGAGACCCAAAGGGACCCAGGATCCAAGGAAAACAACCTAATCTATCAAGAGCAAGATGACTGCCTCTTCAGCAATTTATTAGCCGCCAGATCAAAACATGACACAACAAGCTAGTTGCACCTTGCTCTCCTTCTTACTACTTAGATAATAGAATAATCAGCAGCAATTATATGTAAAGCCTTCTCACGCAGATTCCACCCCATACCATTGAAGATCGACTCAAGCCAGATCCGAGGGTGAGAAAAAAGCAGGAAATAGATCCGAGGATCTCAAGTAAACTCCTGGTTGAATATCAAACCAGCTGTAGAAGAAAATGTCGTAGTTCCTCTTGAACGCTGCATCTCCTTCCCCATCAGGCCATTTGATTTCCCCCAGATTCTCCCCTAATGAATCCCCCAGCCAGGTCTGAAATTTTTGAAGAGTTCTCCTAATGTCTTGTTTTTGAATCAGTGATTTGAGTATAATTTTAACTTTACACCATTGTGCTCTAATTTCCGTCTGGACAAAATTTTGGATTATGTCTGAAACTTCCGGACCATCAATTCTTACCCCCTCCCAAGAAAGCACACACCTTCTGAACCACAATGCCCGAAGTATTGCTTTCCTACCTATATGGAATAAATTGGTTTGGAATTCTGATAAATTTTCCATCACTGGAGACCATTGTCCCAAAAGGAGTTCATGCCAGTCCCATGGCCAGTCCAACCCGGTGATTTTATTCCAAATATGATCCCATCTTCTCCATAATAGTTTGGCCACTGGGCATTAAAGAAATATGTGTTCTATAGTTTCTCTTATCTTTCTACTTGAA